TAATTTTAATTGGAATTATTTAATAAATTATTATTTAATTCGAAATTTTTTTATTCAATTATTATACTTAATTTCTAGTGACTAATTTTGTAAGAAACTATTTTATACTTGTTATTTTAGTAACAAAATCATCGAGTACTAGTATTTATTGAATTTTCAAAAATGCCCTTCTTTTATTTTTGGGGATATGTTTTTTTAAAACTAAAAATGCTGTCACACATTTAATTTGTGACCTTTTTGTTTCATCATTGATAATAACATTTGTAACGAGTTTTTTTTTGTCACAAATACTCCTAATTGTGACTAACATGGTAGTATTTGTTTCATTTTTTTTGGTCACGGATAATTTTGATTGTGATTAAAAGGAAATGTCACAAATGATTCAGTATTAGTAACCAAATTTTATGTCACAAATAATTTCTTCTGTGACGAGTTACACAGGTTACAAATGAAATTCTTTTTTGTCACAAATAATCGTCATTGTGACACAAAATCATTACAAATATGTTAATAATTGTGTCTTTTTTTACCGTCACTAAAATCATGATTTGTTGTCACCAATGCAAAATTAGTTATTATTAATTTTAGTGACTCAATATTTGTAACAGACAGTGACCAGTCAAATTTTAATTACAAATATAATTTGTAACTAAAAAATTTTATTTTTTTGACTAATTTTACCATTACAAAAAAACTCATTTCCTTGTAGTGGTTTAAGAGTTTTATTTTTCTACAAGTAATTTTATAAGTGTTCATTATATTCATGTTGTGCAAATCTTGTGGTGATTGAAAGTTTGATGATTAAATGAAGAAAATTAGAAGAAAAGGACTTGAATGCAAAGAGCTGAAAAAATGAGGCTCCAAGGATAAATCTAGAAGTTTGAGGACTCAAGGGAAATTTCTCCATATTTGATTAAGAGCAAAAGTAGCAAATTCCGTGAAGTTGTTGTAACCTGCAGCGCGGAAGGAATTCCAGTAACATTGTGGGTTCCGCACCCTGATGGAGGTTCCAACCCCTGTTCAAACAACTGTACGGAAAGAAAGAAAAATAAATAAAATTAATTCTCTAGGGCTGCTATCTTAGTTACCAAATGTCCCTATTTTATTCCTAATATAAATAAGAGCCTTTAAAACTATGTTTAGTATCTGGAGAGGCAGCTACCAAACTTCTATTTTCTTCTCCAAGGTAGAAAATTATGTCAAAGGGTAACTAAATTTTCAATAAAACTAGGGAGGATTTTAATTGAGGAGTTTGATTTGTTATTTTAGTTTGATTCCTTCATGAATTTTATTGTTTAATTTTATTTTTTAGAGATTATTAATTATTTTTAGATTTGAAAACCTTGAAAATTATATTTTTCAAATTTCATATAAAATTAGTTATGCTCTTTTTATGTGTAATTTGTTAGAATATAATTTATTAATAAATTTGTTTTGCAAGTTGATCCTTTACTATAGTATTGTTGATTAGATATATTGTCGCTCTTGGATAGCTTGTAAGGATAGATCAGTTTGTTTTTCATTGAAATTAATTTCTCCCAAAATAAATACATTTATTATTATTATTGGTTTTCAAAGTTAAATTTTTCAATTGTTTGTTTGGGATGTGAAACATGCAATTGAGTAATAAATAAGAATCACAATTTATAACAATTAAATAAATCAATTAAGTAAACCCTAAAGTCTTATTCATCATAATATTGTTTCCAATCTGTTATAATTATCATCTTTTATTTAAATATTTTTATTCTTAATTTTAGAATTCATCTTTCAATTTAATTTCTCATTGTAACAACTCTTTTTATTGATTTAATATAGCTTCCCTATGGATTCGACACCTAAAACTACGCTACAACGACTGCTTAGCCGAAGGGTTTTAATTTTGAGGCGAGACATCACTATGTCTGGTCATATTGTAGTGAGATAAATCAAATCTCCAACCAACTGTCGGTAGTGAGTAAGATCAGCTAATGGAGAACCATCCATGGATGTAAGTCGACCATTGGGCTCAAGAGGAGTAGATGCAGTCTTACTGTCAATGAGTCCAGCTTTAGATATAAGATCATAAGCATATTTTGTTTGAGAGAGAAGATAACCATCATCAAAAAAGGTGGCCTCAAAGCCCAAGAAATAGCTCAAAACACCAAGATATTTCATCTCAAACTTATGACTAAGAAATTGCTTAAGATCATGAATACCTAAAATATCATCCCCAGTAATGATCATATCGTCAACATAAAGAAGGAGTAGAACCATACCATGATCAGTTTTGTGTATGAACAGTGCAGTATCATGAGAACTAGAAGTAAAGCCAAATTCACTGATGGTGTTACTAAATTTTGCAAGCCAGGCTCGAGGTGCTTGTTTCAAACCATACAGAGCTCACTTTAATCGGCAAACTTTGTTTGGAGGATGCTCAAGTCCAAGAGGTGGTTTCATGTAAACTTCCTCTGCAAAATCACCATTTAGAAAGGCATTTTTTACATCCATCTGAAACAATTTCCATCTTTAACAATTTTCATCTTTTTCAGTAGCAATAGCAATCAAACTACGAACTGAAGTAGGACGGGCAATAGGTGCAAAGGTTTCCTCATAATCAATCCCATATTCCTAAGTAAATCCTTTAACAATCAAACGAGCCTTATAACGTTTCACGGAACCATCAGACTGAGTTTTGATCTTGTACACCCATTTACATCCTACTAGAGGCTTTCCAGCAAAAAGATCAACCAAATCCCATGTACAAGTTTTGTCAAGAGCTTGTAATTCATCTTGCATAGCTTGTTGTCAAAGAGAGTTAAAAGAGGCCTCTTGATAGGATTGAGGCTCATGTAAGGAGGTGATAATAGGAAAGCAATGATAATCACGAAAATAGTTAAGAGGATTTCTTACCCTAGTAGGACGACTTTAAGGTGGATTAAGGATCTCATTTTCAGACTCAAGATCAACAGGGTTAGATCCAATAGGTGATATAGAAGAGGTAAGGGAAGAAGACTCAATATTGTCTAACACATTACCAGCATGCAGAACATCTTCAATAGAACCAGGTGGAGCATGTGGAGAGACATCATGGAGCTCATCAAATGTATTTGCATCAGAGCCACTAAGAAATAGCTCAATAAAAAGGTTAGTAAAAAGTGGAGGTTGATCAAAAGATGACACCTTGAAGTTTGATAATGAGGAAAACATGGTGTATTCCCAAAAGACAACATGACATGAGACTCGAAGCTTTTGTGACATAGGATCCCAACAATGATATCTTTTATGTGTAATCCCATAACCCAAAAAACAACATAATCGAGTTTTAGGCTCTAACTTATTATGTTCATGAGGTGGAAGAAGAACAAAACAAATACAATCAAAAACCTTAAGAAGATCATAGGCAGGAGAAATACCATGCAAACATTCGTATGAAGACTTATTATTGATGACCAATGATAGAATCCGATTAATGAGATAAACAGCTGTAAGAGCAGTTTCACCCCAAAATCACTTTGGACAAGAAGACAAAATGAGCAAAGCACGAACAGAATCAAGGATGTGTCTGTGTTTACGTTTGGCTCGCCCATTTTGTTCAAAAGTGTAAGGACAAGATTATTATGCCAGTGTACCCTACTCTTTCAAAAATGATTGAAGTTTAGTATTAAGATATTCCGTGACATTGTCAGTTCTCAAAACTTTAATAATTTTAGAAAACTGAGTTTTGACCATGGTAGCAAAATTAATATATATTTGTGGCAACTCAGAGCGGTTTTTCATAAGATATATCTAGGTAAAACGAGTATAATCATCAATAAATAACACAAAATACCTGGAACTCCCCATGGTAGGTATTGAAGATGGACCCCAAATATCAGAATGCACGAGATCAAAAGAAGCAGCAGAAAGAGAATGACTACTAGTAAACGATAAAGTTGGTTGCTTTGCAAATTGACATGACACACAATGCAAAGATTCATTTGAAACATATTCTAATAAACCACAAGAAATAAGATAACGAAGTTTACTGACTGAGGTGTGTCCGAGCCGTATCCGAGCCGTGAGTGCAGTAAACGAAGAGGAAAAATATTAGTAGCAATACAGGCTTGGAAGATTTGTTGATATGGAATTTGTAAAGACTCTAATTCAATAGTATAAAATAGGGTTTAGATGAATCGATCATTTGGAAATGACGGTGTATCCATTTTATGATTAGGTATACGCAGATAATTGAACTCAAAGAGACGCCCCACCTTGCGACCAGTTTTAAGAAGTTGTCCCATCTGTGGGTCCTGCACACGACAATCATTAATAGAAAAAGTTATTTCAAGACCAAGATCACATAACTGACCAATAGATAAAAGATTATAACTAAGTTTTGGAACCAAGAACGCGTTTGGTAAAGTCAATGAATTTGTAAAAATGTTGCCGATGTGATTAACATTCATAGGGGAGCCATCAGCAAAATTAATGTCAGGAAAAGAATAGTTTGGTGACATTGAAGAAAAATAAGTAGTAGTTGAAAACATATGATTACAATAACCAAAATTAAAATACCAAGATTTAATACCTGGCGCAGTAGATAAGGTAGTAAGAGCATTAAGAAAATTTAATATCACATATTTTAGAGATTCAGGGTTGGTAATAAGTTGGTCTATCACCTCTTTGGCAACCATTGCAGTAGCAAGATGAATCACAGTTCTTTCAAAACTCATCATAAAACCAGTAGAACTCACAATACTGAAAAAATCTCTAAAAGTATAAAAAAAATATGTCAAGATCGAAATTGCAACTCAATAAGATACCTAAAAAAAAAGGCGTGAGAATTGAGAATAAGCAATCTAATTTGCAGAAGAAGAGAACCCAACGACAAAGTTTCAGATTTGGAATAGATCTGAAAATCCAACTCAATAACCAAGCAGTAATAAAAGAAGATCTAGGAGCTTATAGCTCTAATACCATATTAGAAATCGAAAAAGAAGGAGAAATATTTAAAAAAAAATTTATTACTTTCTTGAATGATACTGTATGTACAATGACTTATATATATGTGTTTACAAAAAGAATATTTTACAGTATAAAGTATTTAAAAATAATATTTTAATGTATAAAATATTTACAATGAATATGAATATAATCTAAATTATTATGTTTACGTCTTAATAACCATCTTTAAGGAAATTATATAAGTTAGCTAGCTCAAGCGCTTTATTTGTCTTCTTGATAAGGCTTTTGCAGACAATGCTATTTATAGGACAGGAAGAACCTTTCTTTTCTTTTCTTTTCTTTTCTTTTTTTTTTTTAAATTCCAGAAGGATTGAATGCAGAACTCATGGTGTGATGCCAAAGATCATCCAATGTAATTTGAGAATTATTAATTAAGGAGATTTTTAAAGGATTGGCATTGTTGGTAAGGGCCGGGTTCCTTCTTACTTTATTAAAGGAGTTTTGATTTGTAGTGGATGTCAGAAGAAATTAATTCCTATAAATTCTCAAGTCCAGACATGAATAATTTATCTGGAATAAAAAAATGCAGTCAAGATTCTATTTGTTAAATCTAAAATATCACCAAACCACACCAAGGGGAGATTAAGGAATCAAATTAACCGGATCAATATGACTCATTTAATTAAAGTTAATTTTAAAGATTAAGTGCCATTATATTGGCCAATAATTCAGGCTTAACAAGCCTCCATTATCACATTGTGTCACCCATTCTGGCATTCTGGAAACCTGAGAAAAACTTTTTAGTTAACGGAGAGTGTTAAAAATTCTAGCTTAAGTAAGCTAGCAAAAAGCAAAGAATAGAGTTAGGGCTTGTTTGGTTTAATTCCATCCTTTTCAAGATATATTTGCATGGGAAAGTTTTTGAGAAAGTTAAAAAAGTTGGTAAACTTTTGTAATCAAATTTTGTTAAAATTTCTAATTTTTCTTGTTAGGGGAAAAGTTTGTATACTAGTTTTTAAAAAAGTTATATCTAACTGTGTTTAAGTAAAAAAGTTGGAAAACCCTCCCAAAAATGTGTGAAGTTTATTAGATGTTGTCTAACAACAAATATTATTTTACCCCTTATTTATTATAATAATAAAATGTATATACAAAAATAACTTTAAACCTTATTCTATGGGGGGAAATTTACTGCTCGCACCCTAATAACAACTTAAAATAAACCTCAATAAATGCTAACTTGACCATATTAGGATTTGGAATTGTATGCGTTTAGATAGGATTAATACTCATATTGACCCTTTCCTCATCTTCATTGATTTTCTGTTTGGCAACTACGATTGGATTCTAAAGAAGCCTATGAGAAGAAATTTTTTTTTTTTTTTTACTGGAATGTTGTGATTTAGTAAGATGATTTCCGTACAATTTGAAAATTGCTACCAATTCAAAGTAGGAATCATAATGGATGCTTGCCTAAAGGAGGAGTTAAAAGGGTCAAAGAGGAGATAGAACAACTAACATTTGGATTGTTTTGGTTTTTAGTTTTTGTTGTCGAGAAATTAACAACATTAATTTAAAATAAAAGAAAATTCTATAGATTACAAAATTAATTTTAGTTTCAAATTTTGAATTGCAAGTCAATTTAGTTGTTAGTAATAGACCCTTAATAGATTTATGATTGGAAAATAAATGTGATTAATTCTACAATATTTTATACAATGTAATGTGGCACTATATGAATTGATTTAATGATTGGTTTACACATTTAGGGTGATGTATGAGTTAATACATAAAAAAATTAAAGACTCTAAGTTTTGAGTTTTTAATTTTAATTTTTATAAATTTTATAATTATAAACAAAAAAAACTTATTTACTTTTGTAACTATAAACAAAAAAAAAAACTTATTTACTTTTAGGTGTTTTTACAAGATATTATCATTATTATTAAAGAAATAAGAACACAAATAGTTGTAAGAGATTAGTGTTTAGTCTCATCCCAAAAAAAAAAGAAAAAAAAAGAGAGATTAGTGTTTTGTTTAAATTCTAAAAAAAAATTTAAAAAAAATATCTCAAAACTACATCATTTTAATAAAATATAATGAAAAAAAATTAAAATAATCACATTACCAATAACCACATTTTTTAATTTTTAATACTATTAAACAAATTTATATATTTTATTATCATTGTTAAAACTCATCTTAAACAAAAGATTTTTTTAACATGAACTCTTATACCCTTATAGTGTTGGTTAAAGGTACATTGTTATCATTAATTTACATAAAATTGATATTAATTTTAATATTACTGCCACCTAAATGAGTTTTATTAAAGAGTTGATAAATTAAAAATCAATATTTATTGAAAGAAACGTATTTATTACCCTCTTAACATATATCCTAAAACCCCTTAAACAAATTGATATATATATATATATATATTAATTTGAACTTTCAATAATTACAAAATTTATAAAAATCAAAATGAAAAGCCAAAAACCATAAACATTCTAAATGGAGCCTAAATTGACTATAATTTAATTGGAATAATCAACAAAAGTTTGACGGCCAAAAAAATAAAAATCTACAAAAGTTTGAGAAATCCGCTTTATAATTATTATAACACCTAGACTGGAATAAGTAGGTAGAGAACTAAAGATTTATTTTTGATTCTATAATCCAGTCAACTTGTGAACAACAGTCATCAATAAGAAACGCACAAATTCAGATTGCCACCTCAGTTTAACAATTTGTTTTTTGTCTATCTTCCAAACTCATTGGAAAACAGAACAAACCAAGACACCCCAACTAGTTGTCACCCACAACTGCTCAAATATTCTGCCACACTTGAGTGTCTCTTTAAAGTTAAGGTTGTGGGACTCTAATCCATTATATTTTGGGTTTCCTTAATCCTTGCCACAGCACCTTCACAATAAAGCATCACAAGGAAAACAAGGTTAATTAATTTTAAATAAAAAAGGTTAGGAGCATACTTTAATCCAAGTATCCTAATATTTTTTAGATATCAGCATCCAGTCAGAAGGAGCTGCTTTATTTCTAGATCTGCAATTTTTTCTTTTTAGCAGCCTTTCTAGATTTGCAATTCATTTCTTGTAGAAGAAGATACATTAAATTAGTGAATAGGTTGATGAGATCGCATTCACCAGAAGAAAAATATGGTGCAACTTTAGAAAGAGTCCATTTTTGCATCAAGACCTAACGCAATTAACTTAAAGGTTGGGAAAAAAAAAAGAAAGCGGCCAATCTCATTCATTTTGTTGAACTTGAAGAAAGTTAGTGCAATTCCAAAGCAGTATATTATGCCCATAAGTTCACCCCAGTTAAATAGTCAGTCCACTTAACATCAGGAAACTTCTGGATAATAGTTAACTCTCAAATCTCATTCAATGAACTCTGGGTAAGAAAAAGTTGTTCTAGAAAAAAGGAGCCAACAAGAGTACCTTTTGTATCTTTTCTGGGAACCACACGGACAAGGTGCATTTCTGCTGATCTGACCACTCTTAGCTAAGTTAGACCTTGCAAGGTCCAGCGGTGTGGATCCCATTAGCTTTTGCACCTGAAAAGTAAAATTAACAATGGATAAGACTCCCTGTTGGGTTGCAGGGAAAAACCAGCAGGGTGGTAACCTTTTTCTGATGTTCAAATTTTAAACAGCAAGGAAACCCTGGAACAACCTAAACAACTTGGAAATGAAAGGAAAAGAAACTAAACGACCAGGTAATCCAGACCATCAACAATCTCACAGATTTGAAAAATTACAACAGGTGTTGGAAGTCTTGAATGTTGTTGCAAAACACCTGGAAGCAAGTCAGGCAGATCAGATCATCTATGAGTTACACCATTTGCTTTACCAGTTTTCTTGTTGAGAACAAACTGCTAGGAACAAACTGCTATTTCTAAATTCAAAAGGCTATCTAGATAATGTGACTAACAGAGACTAAAAATATTAAAAAGCCCATCTTTTGAATGATCAATTTCACTGAAGATGGACTACTGCAATCAATTAATCCTAGACAAGCATCAATCATCCTTTTTGTTCTTTTTTCCTTCTAGGCAATTTTACTATCATCACCACACTCAAGAAAGTAAAGAATTTTACCCAGCCCTCCTCATCTCCTCACCTTCTTTCTATTGATATTTGACACCCTATAGGCTGGCATCAGCCAGGAACTCCCACTAATTTAAAGAATTCAAGTCCAAACCAAATCTTGAGTTCCCAGTAAATTATCCAATATATAACTGTTCATCCATTATCCCCAACTATTTAAAAGACTAAAAGAAAAGGCCACAGGATTTAGCCCCAACATCCATTCTGAAAACAATCAAAATTCTACATTAATATAAGAAATGCTTACTCTAAGCATCCAAGGAGAATCAAGTACTAAAACCTAGAGGGTATTTATCCGATAAACAGACTCCAGGCTATGCTCATAAATAATCATAATACAAGAGAAGAATAAAAGATGTATATAATACATAACACACACACACACACACACAAACATATATATGTGTATATATATATAATAATAATAATAAGATTAGTGTTTATCAGGACCTCTAAAAAATTAGGAGGAAAAACACTCCAAAACTATGTCATTAATTATAATAAAGCACCTTTGAAAAAAACCATAAAAGTCTCATTCCTACTTTAAAAATAGGTTATTTTAGTCCTTTTCAATGGAAGTTTATTGAAACAACATAGTTTTGGGGTCTTTTCCCTCCTAGTTTTTTAGAGGACCAGCTTATAAACAATTTCCCTTATATATATAGTTGCCAAAAAATCAAATCTATTTGAGTTAAATTATTCAATGACTAAGTCAAACCACTAGCTTACATCTTTATAATATTCAATTTTTTTTTTTTTCCAAAACATGCAATTACTCAGATATAAAAGTCCCTCAGGAACAACGAAATACAAATATAATAACTAATTAAACAGCCAAAATAAAACAGTAGCAATAGTACCTCACCCATGCTCTTTGGCAATGGTTTTCCTTCTTCCTTCAACTTCTCCATCTTCTTGTGTGCCTCTTTTGCCCAAGTGAACTTTGCAAGTGCATTCTCAACATCAGCTACTGTGCAATTGAACTGCTTTGCTGTTGCTTGCTTATGACTACTTTGGAGATTCTACAAATCAAGGAATCTAAAACCACAATCAAGATAATAGCCGTGATGCTCACTTAAATGGAAGAAAACAAAACAAAATTACAATGAGTGAGGAACACAGGACAATAGACATTTTACACAAACACCATCAGTAATGTTTGTCAAGTAATGTGGACATGAGGTTCAACTCAAATCTTGACATGGTAATAATTTGTCATGAACATGGGCTTTCACAGAAAGAGCTGAAAACCAACATTCTTAATCATTAGACAAATGAATCAATGATTCTACTAGTACCATCCAACGAGCACAACAAATTTGCATTTTATAATCATAAATCAGAATATATACATATAAGCAATAACAAGTGCTCAAACAAATAACTATAGACCAAGAAACCAACCTCTCCTGAAGGATCAAAACCTCCAAGATACCGAATAATAGCTTCCTGTTTCTCAAAAGCATCAACAAATGTTGCTTCACTACTTCGACCCACCATGTACTGCTTAAATGTCCCTAACCTTCTGGCATTCTTTAACTCATCAGCAAAACCTACATAACAATGAGAACATCAAAATCAAAAGAAATAGATAATTAGATTTTAAATCGTACCCCAAGAGCAAATGGGTTCATACAAAAATTGAAGTAATACTTCATCAAGCACCAAAACAGAAAATATTCAAATGGGCTGCTTCTATTTAAAATAAAGGAAT